CCCCCCCTCTCTCTCTCTCTCTCGCTCGTTTCGAGAAACCAAATGGGAATGCATCTTCCCGCGATAGCGGGAGGATACATTCCCGTTTCGTATTTCGAAACGAGACTGGTGGTTTCTCTCTCTCTCTCTCTCTCTCTCTCTCTCTCTCTCTCTCTCTCTCTCTCTCTCTCTCGCGCGCGCGCGCGCGCGCGCGCGCGTGGGAAGTCAGCTTGTTTTCCGTTGTTTTTTTTTTTTTCGTTTGTGTATTTCATTTTTGTTTTCCTTCTTTTTTTTTTTTTCCTCTACTGTGTCAGTGTGTCGTCCCTACAGAAGCGGGGCCCGGCGTCCGCGCTATCCTTCCCTCGGCCGACCCCCCTAAGGCTGCGGCGCGTATACGGGAAGGCCCACGGCCGATAGCTGAGCGAGGTACTGGTGGTTTAAGGGAAAAACCAACGGCAAACAGTGGGAGAGACAGAAAACAATGGGAAAAGATGGAAAACAGACCAAAGGAAGGGGGGGGGGCGGGGGAATAATAAAAAAAGAAATGTTGGATAGAATGGAGCCGAACTCACGACTGGACTTTTTCTCTTCCGTGGTTGGGGGAAGGGGGGGTGGTGGGGGCAAGTGGCTAACTGGGACCCCCACTTTTGAGTCCTGGGTTAAACCACCAGTACTTGGCCCATACATGGGCCGCGGGCCTTCCCCGTTAACGCGCCGCAGTTTTCGGGATTCGGGGAAGGCCCGGTAGTGCAATGGAGGAGGACGTGCGTGGGACCACAAAAACGGGGCAAATGGACTGTAAGATGTCCTGGTGCTGTGCTATGTGGAAACGTTCGGAGGCTGAAGGCGACGAGGGGGAAAAAAGAAAAGGAACTGCAACACGAGAAGAAAACAAAAAGCAGATCGTTGCTTTTCTAAAATTGGTTTTTCACGAGTGCCCGCCAGCCCTGTAAGGTTAGCACTTTTTAGAATGTATCCGGCTGTACTTGTGGGCTCAGTGGATGAATCTGAGGGCTTGGTATCTCTTTTGCCCTTTGTTTTTTTTTTTTGTTTTTTTTTTGGAAGCAGTATCTCGGTTGTTTGTGCTTCTGCTCCCCGTGTCTCACAGGGAGCATTCAATGCTTGCCAACGGTTCCAAGAACACAGCTTCACTGTGACGTAGCACTTTCCAGAATGTATCTGGCTGCACTTCGGTGCAGCAGAGGATGTATTTGAGGGCATTCACGTTCAGAGCTTGGTACCT